CATTTTGTATATTGAAAGGTTGCGACATTCCATCTAAGGTTTACATCAACTATTCTCAAAAACGCACATAGAAAAACTCAAATGTTAAGTCCAGCAATTTCAGATTTCTAAACCTCCGAGCAAGACCACAAGTGCTCAAACTGATATCCGAGAATTCTGTGTAGGAAAGAATGTGAAATTAGCGGCAAAGAAAGAGGCTGATGAAACTACTGTTACCTCATCACCTGAAAAGGAAAAACCGAAAACATCCAAATCTAAGGTGAATTGATTTATTTCAAACACTCAACTACATCTTAAATAAGGTTTCTTCAAGTCTTCATCAAAGCAACGACTGAATGGAAAATACATGAAGTTGACAAAATCTCCTTCGCTAGCAGTGGCTGGGGTTTGTTGATAAACATTCATTCCTCTTAATGCATTACCGAATTTCAACTCTCAAGGAGTCATCTACAAAGTTCATTGGCCGTCTATCTGAGAGCGCTGCCATATATGGAAAGACTTTCAGACTTGTTAATCTGTCTCGCAAGGAATTGCAGGTTTCTGTGAGTTTATCTTCAATTCTTTATTTGTAGTTTTTAGTATCAAATTTACTATCTCTATCCATATGATTATTCTTACATTAGCTTTCGACAGTCGATTGGCCAACTGGAGTTGAACTATTGTACCCTGAAACTGTGAGCGCTATCGCAGCTGGGCAAACGCTCGATATCCCGTAAGTTTTTCTTCATTTGTGTGCTATACTACCAATATGTCTAATTGTTTTTTTCTCAAGACTTATATGTGTAGTAGTTTCCTTCTATGAAATCAACAATGCTTAAGAGTAACGGTCAGCAGCTGTTTCAATGCTAAGAATTCGGAATGTCTCCACTTACGTCTGCTTCATCGGAATGTCCCTATGTCTCACTTATTATCTTTTAAGGTTAATCCTTCAAAGGAACATTTCGAAGGTCTGTCTATGGTCTTCATCATATGTCCTTTGAGTTCATTTCTAATCTTTCCTTGCAGGACCACTGTTAACGGAGCTTTACGAACCAGGCGATGTACTCCTACTTACAAAACTTCGCAAACCGCTTAATGAAGCCCGTACTTTGAAGAAGAGTGAAAGTTTGGAAATGGTAGGTTTCGAAGATTTGCTTGTTAGGAGAGGATAGCTGATTGCATTTGTTGAACACATTCGGCGTAACGATGGTGTACGCTTATGTATCGCGGAACATCGATGTGACAACTTTTACAAAGTTTAGGTCTCTTTTTTGGGTCGAAATAATCAGTTTTGAATTTGTTATCTTGTGTATAAGTGCCGCGCGCTAAAGTGATTCCAGCTGTATTTCGTAGATCTCCTAAAGCAATTGTTGATTATCAATCTTCTTATGTGAAAATCACCTATTCAGAAGGAAACCCCGGAAGAAACCGTCAGTACAGTGGTAAACATGTTGAAGGACGAGGTTGAGTGCCTTTGTAGCGTGCTGCTTACAGATGCCAATGTCCAGGAAAAAGTGGGTAGTCAACTCTTTTAGAACTGTAGTTTTTTCTACTTTAGTGTAGATAGGTTCAACTGATCGTATGATTATTGATTAAATTGAAATTCTTTTAGGCATTTATCAGCCAGCTGCAAGCTGCTCAGATCCTTGATTCATCCAATTACACTGACAGAGAGATAGAGGTTTGCATACACATGATCGGTTTCCCATTTACTTCACATCATTGCTTTCGAGATCGTTTTTTTTTTTTCAGGAAAATCTCATTGACAGCGTCCATACTGCTATCGATGGCAACGGAGATATTGTATGTTATATTCACAGCCAATCATTTTAAACCAAATTACCTTTTATAAAATCAGCAATTTTGAGGATATCCCAAAAGATAGTGGA